AGCCAACTAAAGTAGCCTGCGACCTCGACGAACTGCAGAAGCCACAAAAACGGAGATAGCTATCTATCCGATTGACTTGTCCTTTTAAGCGTTTTTGAAATCGATCGCAAAAGGGTATTCGAAATGAATCAGCGAAATAAACAAAAGCTAAGGCTTAAAAGATTTGCAGAATGCCTTTCATCGGGGAAGGTATGTCTGTGGGCAAATCCTCCCTGAACCACTTCAGCAGAAGCTTCAAACATTCTGTTGCCCAGATTTCTACTCTTTTCTTCTAGTTCTATGTGAAATTGCTAATCCTCCGTCCGATTCGTTTCATCTTCACTTCTTCATTGAAGGCGCGTTCACTAACTTCAGCCGCTGGTTGGAAATATGTGAGGACGTATAAAATGTAGAAATTTGTCCCTGTAGCTACAATTGTGATCACAAATTTAAGCGAGATCTTTGGGACTGAAGTTAGGAAGTCAATATCATCTTGTCAAAAGATTTCTTTGTGGAATTATGCCATTTTTGCACGGAAGGAAGACGAAATTATAGCAGAAAGGAGTAGAAAAACTGAAAATTGATATAGTATAATCACATAATTATATAGCATATATTAAATCTGCAATCAATATCACAAAATTGTAGCAGTATAGGAAAAATCAAGAAAAACTGGAAATTTAATCAAATGAAATAGACGAAACAGGGAAATAAGGCATCCTTCTCTGGCTGGTTTCGTTTCCCTCTAATTTCTCTCAAGTATCCTACTCGCGATGGCGGGGTGGTGTAGTGGCAAATGGTGCACTATTACACACTCATGGTCACGGGTTCGAATCCAGGGTCGATATTCGCCCGAACCTACCAAACGCTCAGTCACTCCGCGGTCGGTACCAGACTCGTCCAGCAGGATAAAAGCACTGTGAACCTAGGCAGGCCACCGCAAGCCATTGCATAGGCCGTGGATACGCATTCACCATTGCGATTCTGAATTGAATTTGAATGGGAAGGGCATCCCTCGAACGGAATTGAGTACCGTCGGCCAATCACTAGGTAGACGAAAGGAAGCTTTGTTTTCATTATTCGATTCCAAAATCGGCCGTGGGACGGGTTTATGCTTCGTTGAAGTATCGGGAAGATTAGTCAGATAAATACATGCGAAGGATGGTTCCTCTTTGAATTGGACGAGATTTTACAATCCCTACTGTCGGCCTCAATTGTTACAATAGTGTCAGATTTTAGTATGTTTAAGCTCTAACTTTTTTTATTACTGTTCACTCAGCTTTTCCATTCTAGATGCGATCTCGAATTCCAATCGATTTCTTTTTTGATGTGATCTCACCTTACAGCTGGATCGGATTTGAGGTTTGAGTATTTTTGTTTGCTAAACGCAAAACTGCAGTTCAGAAAATGCTCCTCAGTTTTTATTTTGTGAGGTAGGATCGGAATTTTGAGTTGCCCACGTTCAACATCTTATTCCTTCAACATGAAAAGCGAATATTGTTAGAACCCATAGGAGCCTCGAACATTAATAAGGCCAGATTTAATTAGCTTGTAAAACTCACAGATCACATCCTGTTACCGCAGTATTGTGGCAGTCAGCCTCCTTAGCCGTTTACATACCAAGGGAACTTTCCTGTGTAGGCGTTGCTTCAGTACAGTGATCTCGATAATACCCGGAATCATTATTTTTCAAAGAAAACCTTATTTGTACATTCCGTCGAGAGCGGAGTGACCCTCGAAATCGTTGTTGACGAAACTCAAACCGTAATTACGTCTCTTTCCTACTCTTACTGCGATAAGACTCTATAATCTAATATATAAGGTTTCTGAGGTTACCCATAAGTTCTGCTCGAAATTCGGATCGTGTGTTGGGGTGAAAGCCCGATTTCCCTAGAGTAAAACTCTTTGAAACGCAATCAACATTGTAAAAAACACAGTCCATGATAAAAAAATTGTTTCCGAGTTTTTTCCGAAGGATGAATTCGAGGCTCCTTTTTATAGCATATGTGTGAGGCCGGAAAACGGCCTAAATAGGGCGTAGTAAAGGCTTAAAGGTTGTATCGTGTGTATCTTCGGACGAGTTTCACCGGCATTGAACAAGCTGCACCTATCACAAGGATGTAAGGAGTTCAAACAACTTCTCACGACAAATAGAGGGAGTGAAAGACATTTCTGTACAGTTCCGGCTTGATGTAGTGAGCTCTTTGCGCATCTGCAACAACTGAAAACTCGTCCGAATACCTCTTCCGTGTTATTTCCGTCGTGGTGATCTCGTCCAACCTCTATTTTCACTCCTTCTGTGGAACACTATTCTCTTCGAAATCGGCGAATTCACTCGCTTTCTTCACTATCATTGAACTATTCTCAAGCTATACTTCTTCGTTTCGACTTAAAAGGGGTATCTCAAAATTATCGTGAACTGTGTCTCTAAGGAAAAGATATTGGATTAGCGGACAAGGGTTAGAAGTCCAAGGTCGACTATGTAAGTAAAAAAAAACTTTGAATTTTCTATGTTTTTGGCCACCAGATTGACGACATAAGAGCAGGAGCGGCAAATGGCTTACTACCACGCGCGTTATCCGAGGATCGACTACCGGATCGGTATCCGCTCGAATCAACTAATCTATATATCTTCCAGAGGTCCATAATCAATAACGGAACAACGTCGAATAAAGCTAAAAGTACGTGTGTGTGCTGATAAGCTATGGCATATAAGCGATTGAGAAGGCGAGGGCAAGCGGGATCTCGTTACTGTAAGGGATAAGAGCACGGTCCCCGGAAAGGGCAAGTACGGGTTCGAGTCCCGTGCAAGACTGAAGTTTTGCCCATAAATCGCCAACCTTGTGAGACGAGGTCGAATAAATTCATGTTTTTTTTTCTGTAACGTCATCAATTTGCAGGGCCTAATGAGATATAGACAAGTATGGCCCATAGATGTCCACCTTCGCCCATTCTATTTGGCTGGTATTATGAAAGCAACAAGTAAGTGGAAGAGTTTTTGTGTACTCTAAAACTTTTTTTCAATTTGTAGCCATACCCGAATTATCGCACTTCTATTGAATGTTTATTCAGAGAATCCTGGAGCACCAATGATGTTGGATCGAAAGCAGGCCCATATGGAATTGGATATAAGAAGAAACGCCAAGTACTGGGACATTCCTATATCCCTTCCAAAGGTGAGACCTGAAGCGCGTAACACAACCTATCTAGTCTCAAAGCAATACGGGTAAAAAACTACAAAAAATGAATTCAAAACAGGGTACCCATATGTGAAAAAGTAATTTAAAATTAATGAATTCAAACCTGATGATAGAGGGATGATAGGTATGCACAGCTTCGAGTGGTGCATTATTCGTCACTTTTTTGGATGACTAATAAATTAATTTCAATGTCATGATTCGATGGTTTTGAGGTGATTGGATTAAAACGAATTGTAAAAATTCAAATCAAGTAATACTGAAATCGAACCCTCCAGTTAAAATTTTGTCTGACTGGGGAACCGATGTAATTATGGTGGGAATGCCTGTCTACGTTTAATCTACCAGGTGAAAGGATCTCATATGAACGTGAACATATGGGAAAATCGTCCCACGGGAAGGAGTATCCAGCGGGTGTTGAATAACGACGCTGCTCATATCGAATACATTGTCATAAGAGTTCCTAGTGACTTTACAATCATAATAACCGTTTGAAGATCTGGGTAATTCCTGGTTTGAAGGAGATCTATTTGAGGACTTTAAAACCATCGCATTCACAAAGACATCAGCTCTGGCTCAACGACTCCTTCTGGCCATTCAAAAGCAGCACCCAAGTTCTGTTGTGGAACATTGTGCAGGATTGATGTGGAGAAGGTTTTTTACTGAGCATAAGAGCATCTTTGATGAAGAGGATCTACGACAGGTACGATTTTATTCGTAAAAGAGAAGAATGGATAGCAATGCTAGCATTTTTTAATGCTCCTAATTGTGGCACATTGCCAGGTGCTCAAGAGGCTCCCTGATTGCAACGAAGATACGCTGTTGAAGGTTGCCGTAACGGAAGAGGTGAAAACTGCACTGAGAACAAACACGGATGAGGCTTTAGCCCATGGAGTATGTTTGCAAGGAGTACATAGACTAGAAACATTCATTTTCATTTTCGCGCTGGCAATCTCTAGGGATAAATGAATTTCGGGGTAGAGGCAGCTTGGGGACAACTGAATGTATGGCTGTGATGGTGCTGAGTGGTCCAAGATCAGAGAAAAGGTGAAGGGCAGACAAAAACACTTCCAGTAAGGCCTAACATAGGGTTACAGCTGTTCATTCCAGTGAACGTACGAGTTGCTAGGAGAGCGGAGACATAGAAATGGTTCATGGGAGCAGAAGTGCTTAGTGATCACCTGCTTGGGAAGCCGTGCATAGATTATTTGTGGTGGTAGGAACCGGCAGGTGTGTGGGCAGCCCCAGAGTTCCCTTCTTTACTGCATCTTTTCCAAGCATTTTTGCTAACAAACGAGCGAACATTTATGTTCCGTCGGCCACTTTTTTATGGAGGTTCCGAAAGATTTTCTCACACTTTTTACTAAATATTATTTTTAGACTTAAATTTGCAATTTACAAATTGACCAGTTTTTATTTTCAGTGTTTTGGAGCTCCCTGGATCCATGTACGACGGAGTGCACATGAAATAGAACCATTTTTTGGAAGTGATCGACTTCCTCTCATTGGTCACCTCATTGGACAAGAATTTCAAGGACCACTTATTCAATACGCTTCACATGAACAAAACCAAACTGCTGCAGGATAATTGCATAAACTGTAACCTAACAAAGTTTACAATCATAGTGTTAATCAAAGTATCAGTAGTTGGTAGCTCAAGTTGCTCGAGTTGGTGGATGGGTTCATACAAACCAAATTAAGTAGACAATGAGGTGGGATAGTGCCAAGAGCGCGCTACTGTATCTGCGTGATAGGGGACTCGAATCTCGTCCTTATGCCCGTTCGTGCCGCCGGTCGCTTATTGGCACCAGATTAGTCTAGAAGATTAACGGGACTGATTTCTATATCAACTAACCCCTGCAGGTCGGTAAATGAGACAAATTCTTGTCCTGATGTCATTCGACGCCGAATGGAAGTCGAATGTCGTCGAGCACCTCAGAAGTGATCAAGTCGAAAAATTTCATTTGCACTGACCAAGTCAATCGCAATATGCTGTCAAAGTGACTCCCATAAACAATAATGAGACATCTCAAAAATTCGTCGGAACGGATTCGTCAGTGTTTCATCGTGTGTTCAGATAAGTGTGGGTTGGCTGACTGAAATTTGCAGCAAAGGCACCAGGAATTTGATTGAACTACAGGAGAGTTTACTCACAAAAAATCCATCAATCTCTTCTGTACCTCCACTCGACGGTTCACCTGCACCCACACTCGCTTACACATATATACATACACATAAATACATACATATTCAACTCAACTTACTATCGAAACAAAATTAGTAGTTAGCTGTTGCTATGATTCTAGACGGGCGGAGGTGGTGTAGGGGAAAGTGGTGCACTTTTTCACACGCACGGTCACGATCGAGTCCCGGATCGATAGCCGTCTAGGCCTACCAAGCCTTCTATCCTTCTGGGGTTGGCCACTTGGTACCACACTTGCAAGAGGATGAAAGCACATACTTGTAGTCGGCTGGTCACCGCAACTCGTTGTATAGGCCACCCACGCATTCAATATGCCACTAAAATTCTGAATTGGAGTCGAATGCGGGGCGCATCCCTTGGAGAGCATTGTAAACCTCGTAAGAATTTGTTCTCCATGATTCTAGACGGGAGTGAAATTGTTATCGTCCTCTGACAATTCTGCTGATTGACTTCGATGATGGGCATCTTTCAATGAAATAGTTAGTAGACATATTTCCGTCAATCCCATCCATGGCAATGGCTTCTAGGTATTTAACTTATTACCAAGTTTCCCACAAAC